ATCCCCCCAATATTCAGGGTGGGAATATTGTGCTTGGGAATAGATTCGAAGCTGTCTTGTATAATTGTTGCCCATCGGAAATTGAAAGTGGAGGAAGTACTGTGACTGCAGGGTCCGTGGTTGGTGGCTACAATAAGCCGGTGTTGCTGGGATGAATAAAGATCGACCCCGTTCAAAATAACACTGGATCTCGCCCGTGAGGGTATAATGTCGATTTTCTCGATCGTCGATCAAAATCGGACCACGAAGGGCTAGAGTGCACTCTGATGTCTTCCGACGGAGAGATGGTTATGCACCTGGCTTCTATTGCGAGTGTGAACTATCTCCCATGGACCCGCCGAATTGTCTTTAGACACCGCTTTAACAATGAGCTTCATTGGACATCCGATGCGAATCGACCCTCTCATTGGTCGTTCTCGCTCCGCATCAGTAAGGTGTTGCGTACATTTGGGCTTCCCTGCTCGGTCGCAATCCAATCCACGCTTCCAAACTTGCATAGGGGTAGAATCAGTGTAGAAAGCACGACGCTTTGTTACGTTGAATCCATGATCTTTCGCCCACTGATGAATAGCGGATATAGCTTCCGCTACCGATGCACACGTCTTCTCTGGTGGTGGCTCGATGTTCACTGACGGTCTCTCAACTACGGGTATCGTAAGCAATTCGTCGACTGCATCCAAGCACAACAATCCCTCGTCATCGCATCCTGTACTGCGCGAACGACCTTCACTGAGGTTGTATTGAGCCTGAGCGAAGTCACTGGAAGACGCGGAAAAAGTGGTCTCGGCAGGGATCGTGGCAGATAAACTTAAAGTCACAGCTAGAGAATTCACGTTGTCCGTCATCTAAGATGCCTCTGAACTGCTGGAGAGCTTGTATTGGATTGCGTAAGAGTGTTTTATTGAGTACTGGATTGTGTTTTGGAAAGTGATGAGGACATGATAGTTTAGAAGGATCGTCCTCCATGTAGATATCATTTTCTTACGTCCTTACCCACCGGTAAGAACAAGAAGTTTTAAATATTGGGACGGACACGTCTCTGTGGGACGGACACGGCCAAATTAGTATTAGATTTTGTATGCTGAAATATTGCAACGGACACGCCGCTTAGAGACGGACACGGCTTGTAATATTAATAGCTCGATTTTATTATATGAAAAACTGCTGCTACAAAAGTTTTTTTTTTGTGTCGTCTCTGCGCACAGTCTGTCCCATGGCCCTCCGCGGAATGGCTCTCCTTACTTTTACCCTTCTTCGTCAACGAGAAAATGCAGCGTCCATACAATCGCGATTCAGAGCGAAACGTATGCTCAGCGTACTGGAACGAAAATGCGTGCATTTATTATTTTGGAAGAGCTGCGTTTTTCTTCGCTACCCAGAAATCAAAATATTTCTCCCACCTTGCACGAATCGCACCTTCATTGGGGATGCCATTGCGATTAATGCCGGTAAAAAGTTTGAATGGCGTTGCTCCCTTTCTGTAGAGCTTCTCTAAGGTAGTTTCCTTGTTCAGAAACAACTGCAGATTCTGAAAGTCCTTGTCGGTCATTGTTTTCCATGTTGTAAGGAGCTTAGCGACGAGTTTTGAGCTGACCACATTCGCTGTACTCTGGTATTCTCTGTCTTCGTTGATCGCGTTGTGTGTGTATATTCTGTTGTTTTTATCATCAAATCGGTAGCCTCTTAGAAACCGTCCGCCGTCAGTACAATCTGCATCGTTCAGCTGGATCATGTCAATGGGTACACGCTTCACTTGTATCGAGGCCGCCACCAGGGACAGAGCTCTCGTCATGCTCGCAAGCAGGATAATCGCTGCCAACAACTTCATTGTATGCGGGTACGGTAGGATCCTATGCTTGACTGGGAAGTTCTCCGGAGGGGGGGGGGGATATTATACCCGCGGGGCAAATTCTGGAATGATTGCATGTACAGTGGTTGTGAAGACTGTAGTACGTTTTTTGCTCTGTGCGGTATGTACAGTCTGAACCGCACGAAGCAAAAACGTACTGTACATTATCAAAGCCGCTCTTTTCGACTTACAGAACAGTACATAAAGCATCCAGTGACTACATGTATTAATACGTGTAGTAATACAAAATGACAGTATTACTGCACTGCATTTTGGGTCTGGGAATTCATCCCGATTAAAAAAAAATCCTACCCCCTTGGGCGCCCGCAAAAGAGGGTCCAGCACCGAGCTTGATGAGAGAATCTTATTGTCGCAGAAGCGCAGCGACTGCCTTCACGACGCGCAGCGGAGCAATTCTTAAGAAATTCAACGACATCCGTCCTCTTTATTTTTGGATGGTAATGGTGATGAGAAATTATCTTGCCTTTACTACAGTACTGATCTGACAAGTGCTAGCAACACGTGCCAAAATAAAAGTAGTAGCATGTAAGTTTCTTCGAAGTTTTGTAAAACCTATAATGCCCAGGGAGAATAGCGTTAGTACAAACAGTTGGGCCAGATTTCCCACTGTTAATTTAACAACGCCTCGGGATCATCCAGACCGCACATCCTACAGTAGTACCACACCCCGTTTTCGCGCTCTTGGACCTTCAATTAACTTCGGAATATGATGATCCTGAATCTAAATGAACAGTAACTTGTAAGCTAAAATCTGATTTATTTGCAAATCATGTACATGTATGGTGCATCCGATGCACTGTACTGTACATGTAGTACATGTCATGTACTAATAGTAGGATATCCTGCTGTGAGACGTACAGGTAACGTCCGACGTTGTGGATAATATTTCGACAGAACATGCCAAACACATGAAGTGTGTTTCTCCTACTTTCTGTAATATATCCCCGGCTGGGGCCCAGCTGGATTCCAGTGCAGGGGTTATAAATTATGTATTAATATTACCGATTAGCTACCATTATTATAACTTACTAGCCGAGCGCCGCCGCGTAGCGGCGGTAGTTTAGGTATAGCTCTACTTGCTTTGGCCTTGCCGCCCCCGCTTCACTTCGGCGGGATAATTATTTCAAAAAATATGAACCCCTATGTATTCCATGAATTTCTTAATTCTGGGTTTAATTTAGACCAGTCGCTACAAAATGCTGAGCTCCCAGTAAGCCGTGCAATTATTTCTACAAAATGCTGAGCCCCTAGCATCACACTTACCATGCTTAAAAATTATTAATTTGGTGATCTTGACACAGTCTCTTTATTATTGTTGGCTACTACATAAGTACTGGCGTGACATTCGTCAGTCATCGCTATTTTCATGAAGTTTGATAGGTTTACCTAGAGAGCATCATACAGTCCGTGTTGACTCGGGCACATGCTTGCCGTGTCGTGCTGGCATTAACGGCGAGTATGTGCCCAACTCAAGAATCACCAGCACTTCAAATAGCATGTCTACAAACGATATTGAATATATTTAGCTTGGCGTCGTGCTCGATATCATGGGCCGTTCTGAGGCGCTGTGAAACTTAGCCCGCATCAATCCAAAGGACAGTAATGATCTATCCAGGTTGCACTTCTTACTCTCTTGTACTGCCTATTTGAGCTTGTAAGTAACTAAAAATTGCTAACTTCTCTCACAAAACTAACTGAAAAAAAGCTATAAATTTTCGAATTGTAATATTTTTATGCATGCAGCCTTCATTTTGTGCTGATTCAAAAGTCATTGGGCAGTCGAACCTGTCAGTTATGATTATAACATTAGGATAATGCGTCGCAAGACGCTTGCGGCAGCGTTTTTTATTTGATAGGTTAATTAAGATGCCAAAATGATTTAACTATCAGCTATACCCTAAGTTTAACCTTTTGTTATGGTGTCTAATTAACCAGCTCTCATGCTGTGCTGTTGTCTATCCGCTCCATTTAAAATTTTATCCTTCGCCTATGTCGGTGACACGTCCGCCAGTTAAGTTGTATCGGATTTTGCAGTCTAAACAATTCTTAGAAAACACTGGCTTACAGCAGTATCACACATGAGCTCGTTTTATTCAATCTAAAACTTTCTATCTTTGTGAATCAAGTGACAACGTATATTAGCAGCGTTGTTCTTACGGCCAGCTGTTACAGCCAGCTCTTCTGTTGTACATGTACTACGATTTGGCAGCTTAGTAGTTACCTCACTCTCAGATAATTAGATAATATGTCGACAGCAAAATAGTTGTAGCTAATAAAGTCATTGTACAGTACATTGCATAAACTATTAAGTACATAGTTTACGTATATTATAGTACATGTATGGCTTCCAAAACACGCATTCATACGTGCACGCTAAGCACCTTGCAGCATAGGAAGCGTCTTTAGGGGCTATTTCATTTAAGAATAAGTAGCTCTCTCTGTTTAGCACTCAAATATTAAAGCAACATGCATTATTAAAAAAGTAAATACTTCGTAATATAAAAACGATGCCACCTTCGGATATCGCTTATAGTAGTAATTGTCATCAGCACATATAAGTTATTTTTGCTCATCTAAACCTATCTATCTTATGTGGTTCAAGCGACAACGTTTATTAGCACAGCGTTGCTCTTACGGCCAGCTTCTGTTGTACATGTACTTCTGTTTGGCAGCTCAGTCGGGTTACCTCACATTCAGAAATGTTCTTTAATATTTCTACAACGAAAACAAATTGTAGTTATTCTTTTTAGTCATTGCTTCTTACAAAAACTATATAGAACACAATATTGTTTGTATTATTAGAATGGCCTCGAAACACACGTGTACGCTTAGAGCCTGCAGCATAGGAAGCGTCTTTAGGGGCTATTTCATTTGAGAATAAGTAGCACTCAAATATTAATAGCAACTTCCCATATTAAAATAGTGCAAAATAAAAACTTCGTAGTATTCAAACGGAGGCGCCATCGGATAATGGATAGTCTTGTGCAAATCTCTATATATGCTCTGTGAACCACATGGATTTACTGATGTAAGCTACATAATTCCGTTTTAAACAATCGAAGCCGCCTTCGCTCCGCTCGACAGCCGATGATAATGCTCGAAAACATGAGCGTTTGGTGTGACCGACGGACAGACACCGTGCTAGCATTGATAGTTTAGGACTAGTCGGCCGCCGCCACTACGCGGCGGAGGTGGCAGGTTTTAGTCCCAGGGGAAATGGGCTCCCGCCTTCGCTGCGCTCCGGCATAAACAT